CCCCCCTCCCCTGCTGCCGTTCTCCCCCGCACCCCGCGCCTGGCTAACGGCGTGGGTCCCAGACTCACGACCCACCCCGCTCATCTGTCCAGCACCGTCTGCGGTCACCCACAGACTCGTCCTTGTACATCGCAGGCCACCGGACCCCACTCCACAGCTTTACCCTCCACATCAGCCCCTCACCCCGGCAACGGAACCCCGCTGATCGGTCGGATCGTCTTTTCTCGAGAACGCCAAACCATATGTTCCTCAGCGAGCTGCAAGAAATCTCGTGTCCTGCGTCAGAAGTCGGACCACGGCGCCTTTAGTCAGAGTCCAGCCATGAAGAAACAGTTGGACAGACACCTGCCCTCCCCCCCCGCGCTGGACGGCATCATCACAGAGTACCTGAGGGAGCAGCACGCCCGCTGTAAAAACCCCGTGGCCACCTGCCCGCCTTTCTCCCTTTTTACCCCCCACCAGTGTCCTGAGCCCAAACAGAGACGCCAGGCTCCCGTCAACTTCACGTCCAGATACACACGAAGAGTGATCTACCCAAAGTACGGCGGCGTGGACGGAGGATGCTTCGACAGACACCTGATCTTCAGTCGGTGGGTTCAGAGTTTTGGACTTGTTTCCTTTCCGCGCCCACTTGTTCCTACCCCGTCTGTTTCCTTCTGCCCAGGTTCCGCCCCATCTCCGTGTTCAGGGAGGCTGACGAGGATGAGAGCGGCTTCATGTGCTGTGCCTTCTCGGCCCGTGAGCGGTTCCTGATGCTGGGGACCTGCACGGGTCAACTCAAACTCTACAACGTGTTCACAGGTCAAGAAGAAGCCAGCTACAGCTGCCACAACTCTGCCATCACACACCTGGAGCCCTCACGGGTCAGTAGGTCAACTGCAACCACACCTGGCCCAGTTAGCAGCCCGCGGGCCACATACACGTCAACACAACATCACCATCGACCCAGTCTGTGGTCGGAAACAGTCAGAAACAACAGTTGGCCAATGAAAAACATCGTTTGTATTTGTTTACATGGATGAAGTTTAGAGTCAGGGTTAGAGTTAAAGTCAGGTTAGAGTCAGGGTTAGAGTTAAAGTCAGGTTAGAGTCAGGGTTAGAGTTAAAGTCAGGTTAGAGTCAGGGTTAGAGTTAAAGTCAGGTTAGAGTCAGGGTTAGAGTTAAGTGTTGATAAACATAGATCGATACTTTTAAATGTTTTAATAATTCTCCTGTTGTTTCAGGACGGCTCTCTGCTCCTGACATCTGCCTCCTGGAGTTACCCTCTGTCCACACTGTGGGGCATGAAGTCTGTGTTTATTATGAAGTAAGTGAAGTACTGAGAGTACACGAGTACACGCAGCTTCATTGAAGGATTCATGGAGTTGGAGCTGTTACTTCAACAATCTTTAGCTAGTTTTGATTAGCATTCAGCTACATCATCATATTTAGCTGTTAGCATTAGTTTTCATTATGTTTTTTGAACTTTTACTACCTTTCTACTTCACTCCAGTCATCTGTTACTCTTTGGGAGTGTTGTGACCTTTGACCTCTGTTGTTGTTGTTGTTGAACTGCTACCCCCCTCCGGCCCCCCCCCTCTCTCGTCCGTAGACATTCCTTCCTCGGCGACCATTACGTGGAGTTCAGTAAACTTTCTCAGGACCGGGTCATTGGAACTAAAGAACACATCGCTCGTGTAAGTCAGGGTTCTGTGGACGTCAGGTTCTGACCATGACCCCTCCGGTCCTCACCCGTCCTCACCCGTCCTCACCTCTGCCCCCTCAGATTTATGACATCCAGACGGGGCAGGTGACGCTCACGCTCAACAATCCCGACCTGGCCAACAACTACAAGAAGAACTGTGCCACCTTCAACCCCACCGACGACCTGGTGCTGAACGACGGCGTCCTCTGGGACGTGCGCACGGCTCAAGCCATCCACAAGTTTGACAAGTTCAACATGAACATCAGCGGCGTGTTCCACCCCAACGGCCTGGAGGTCATCATCAACACGGAAATCGTATCCTTGATCGTCGGGTTGATGAGGTCAGAGGTCAGAGTTAGCTCTGACCTCTGACCTCATATCATGACTGATAACAAAACAGATTTGAAGGTCACAAAGGTCAAACTCGTCCTACAGTCAACAGCACATCGAGTGTTTGTCTGGTGAGAACCGGTACTTGATGTAGAACCTAGTCTTAGTTGGAGCGAAAGGCTTCTCCGTGACCTTTGACCCTGTTTTGAAGAAGAGTCAATGATTGGTTTGAACTGAAAGAGAATTCTGTCACAGACAGAAAGTAACGTCCAGGAGCGGTCCGTGACCCGGTGTTTGGGCACCTCTGTTTGTTGTTTGTTCTTGACTGGACAAACAGTGGGATCTTCGGACGTTCCATCTGCTCCACACGGTTCCTGCTCTGGACCAGTGCAGGATTGTCTTCAACAACAACGGCACCATCATCTACGGGGGTAATTACTGACACCACACTGTCTGTGGCTGTGTCTGTGTCTGTGTGTCGCCCTAAACCATATGGACAGCAGGGTGAGTGTTGGACTGACAACAGAACCAGCTGGTTCCTGCTGCCACACAGAGGGACCTGGACCTGGACCTGGACCTGGACCTGGAGCTGGACCTGGAGCTGCCTGATGATTGAACATAGACTGACTGTCAGCAGTTGAAGGAGAATGAATGATGAAGATGATGATGATGATTCTCTCCCCCCTCCTTCTCTCTACAGCGATGCTCCAGGCGACGATGAGGATGACATGATGGAGATGCAGATGAAGAGTCCGTTTGGTTCGTCCTTCAGGACTTTCAACGCCACAGACTACAAACCCATCGGTACTGATCTCTGATCAGAATCATCTGTAGAATCAAAAAGATTTCAATGATTTCCTTCAGTTCCAGGTTTTATTGACTGACCCTGACCCTGTTCATGACCTCTGGTCACTTCTCTCACACACACACACACACACACACACACACACTCCTGACTTTATCCACTGTATCGCTACTATTGAAGTCAGAAATAAATCAGATTCCTCCATGTACCACTAGAGGGAGCTCCAGAGCCAGAGCTTGAGAACCACATGTTCAGTGACGTTTAAATAGTTAGTGAGTTGATCTGCGTCAGTACCTCATCGTGGTCAGTATTTGAACCAGTGACATGTTTGAACTGAGGTCAAAGGTCAAACTCCGCCTCTTTGTCCCTCAGCCACTATCGACGTGAAGAGGAACATCTTTGACCTGTGCACAGACACCAAGGACTGTTACCTGGCTGTGATCGAGGTACAGTACTGCAGTACTGAGTACTCGACCGTGAGGTTCTGAGACGCGTGTTTGATGTGGATGTTGTTCTGTCCAACAGAACCAGGACTCTGTCAACACAGACACGGTGTGTAGGCTGTATGAAGTGGGCCGACAGAGACTGGCTGAGGAAGAGGAGGAGGACGAGGAGGACCAGGTACGTGTTCTGACCCGGGGGAGGAAAGGTCCACGCCCCACAGTATGAGAAACACACCTTTGTTTTTACGCAACAGGAGGATGACGATCAGGAAGAAGACGAAGACGACGATGACGACGACGACTCCGATGAGGACGTGGACACCGACCCTCTGCTCGCCGAACTGGAGAACGACAACGGTGGAGAAGATGACGATGAAGAAGAGGATGATGGGAATGAGGAATTCTCCCCCTCCGACGAGGAGGTGGCCCGTCTCCTGGACGAAGGCGACCCAGAAGTTGGAGATGATGACGATGATGACGATGAAGACGAGGACTCTGACAATGAGGACGGCGATCATGACGGAGAAAACGGTGAGTCACGGTGGTGCAGCGGTGTCAGAGGTTCGCCGGCACGTGGTCGTTGTTTTAATTAATTAACAACCAATTTTCTCAGACGTTCCCAATTCGTTATTAGTCGGAAAGTCCGATAATATCGGCCGACTGATATTATCGACTCTATTTGCATTGATTACATTGATGTGTGCTCTACAATTATAAACACTAGATGGCAGCATTGCAGCTCATTAATCAACATTGATAACCAGATCCATAATATCTCCAGGAGATCAGTAATATTTTAATTCTGTCCCCTAGGGGGCAGAAAATGGTTGAGAAACACTGTTTTAACCCCTGACCTTAGTGAGCAGGCAACACTTGACTTCACCACTGACCCACCGTATCGTTGAAGGGACTAGTTATTATTGTTGTTGTTTTCAGCAGTGTTTCCTCTGAAGGTTCTTTTCTGATGTTCTGACCGTGGCTCTGGACTCACTTGTTTGTCTTGAACAAACCAGTTCAAACCCCAATGCCCTGACGGGGGTAAATAATGTTGATATTTGAAGGAGACTGTTTTCAGTTCTGAACTGGTACTGCAGTATCTGAAGAGAGTACTACAGTCACAGGTCGTGGTTTTAAAGCATTGAAGTTTCATTGAATTGAATTGTTTTTGAGATGATCTTCATCTTCTTCATCTTCATCTTCATCCTCATCATCCTCAGCAGCAGCTCGTTGTTTTTCTAATCCTGTCTTTGTGGTGCTTTGAACAGACAGCTCAGACAACTCCGACCTGGAGGATGACATCATCTTATCCCTGAATGAGTGAGGAGAACTCTTCAACGTCCAGCACCAGGAACTGGACCGTCGTTCTGGACGCGGCCACGTGGACGTTCTGCTACAGAACAGAGTGGAGGAGAGAACGTCTGTCAGTGTGGAACCGTTCTCCACAGGCAGCACGCTGACGTCAAAGATTGTATTTCAGATGGTTTTATAACTGAACTCCTCCATCCTCACCTTCCTTATACCTCCTTCCTTCTTCTTCCTGTTTTTGCTGGCATCATCTCCTTCACTGAAGACTTCATCACTGTCCACTGAAGTAAAGTTGATGGAGGAGGAGGAGGAGGAGGAGGAGGAGGAGTGTAGATGCAGAACAGTTTTATATTTTTGACCCGACCTGTTCTTTAATCGACTTCTTCATTTGGACTCTTTATACCAGACTTCATTTCTGAAGTGTTTTGTAGTGAAAACTTCTGGACTCTGCACAGATGTGTGACATCACACACACACACACACACACACACACACACACACACACAC